TGTCAAAGATGCAGCGCTTCCGTCGGCCATTGTGCCGTCGGAAGGTATGGTCTCCTGGTTTAGGACTGAGGGCTTGGGTTTAAATCCTCGTGCGTCAGCATGGATGCAGTCTGAGCTCGACATTGTGTTGTCGCGCAGGAGTGAAGATGCAGCAGCGAGTTGGAAAAGCAGTGTGGGACCCTTCACTGCCACCTGCCTGCACCATGCCAGAAGCCATGGACCTTCCCAAATGTCCGCCTGCTTCGGCTCTGAGGCAGAGGCAAAGGCGGGCAGCGTTCGCACGGCCACCCGTCACTACGGAGCAGAGCTGAAGCATGTGTACGGTGATAGCTGCTTGGATTCAAGTACTTGCGTGGTGCAGACAGCGGCGTGCTTGGCATGTGCTGTGCATTCAAGGCAAGTCAAGCTTCAGTTTTGGCGACATTGTGCCAGCCACCTTTACGAAGCTGTGATGCAGGTGTTGAAGGCCAAGCATGTTTACGCCAATGTTGCAGTTTCCGGATATGTGGCTGTTGCATGCCTCGTCACTGTTTATGATCCGAGGATGTGTTCCCTGTCGGCCTACACCGGAATTGCGCAGGGGAAGATTCTACGTGGAGAGAGACTTGCTTTCAAACAGAAAAGACTATGAGGGCTCATGACTGCCTGATGGAAGCATGATGGAGTAGAATTGCACTGCTGTTTGGTATGCTTTTGCTGACTACTCTTTTGAGCTGACGATTGCAAGCTTCGAGGAGCTTCTGGCATGGCCATGCCGATGGGCAAGCGGGCAGCGTGTTCTATGGCGGCCAGTGGGTGCGAGACGAGAAGAATCTGACCGGAACTCGAAGCTGGATTGTTGCCTGCCCCAAGTCTATGCTGCAGGCAGTCCTAACCGACCGATCCCTGCTGTCAGCCGATGTCAGCCGTACAGACCTGTCATTGTGGAATTTTGCCCAGCGCTCTTGCTTGTTGATTTGAGGCTCTTTGTGCTTCGAATCAACATGAGTACATCTTCTTGGATGGCACGAGTCTTAGAAGATGAGTCAGCGGCTACGTCACGGCTCAGAAGCGTGCCTGCATGCAACTCCAAGGTGTTGAGGTTCCTGCCAAGTTTGCAGGGGGCGGAGGCAACACAGCAATCGGTGTGAACGATGGTCCTGAAGACGTGCCATGTCAGCACCGTCCCTTCTAGTCCGGTCGTGGATTGGCAGATCGTGCATAGCTGCGAACCCAGGAACATTCAGACTGGGCGGTAGCGGAAGTCATGACCTGGGATCGAGTCTTGACCCGCGACCTGGCGGGGATGAAAGTGACGCGTTGGGAAGTTGTTGCGCGGGTTCATCTCTGGCCTCTCTGAGCTGAGGCTCCGAAATGGTGGACGTGCAAAATTACCTCCGCGCGAAGGCAAAAACGTGCCAACCAGAGCAATCGGCACAGCGGGAGCCCTGGGCTAGGGCCACGCTCGTGCACATGTCGCTGGGGATTGAAAGGTGTCTCGTAAGATGCACATCTTTAGTTGGGATGAGGTGCGATACGGCCCCGTGCGTGTCGCTCTTCGTACCTCGATCTCAATTACGTTGCAGTTTTCGAGGCCGTCGGCAGTGACTGACCATAGCATGAGCCCTTAGGTCGGTCCAAACCGACACAATGTCATGTTCCGCAATGACGATGGGACAGCGACAGCAGCTCGGATGACATGTATGGCTGGGCGATCGGATCCCCGCCCTTCATTTCATGCATTGAACATGTCATTCGCGCTTCAGGTTAAGACCTACAGTGGGACGCCGATTACCTGTCTTTGCAAAGGACATCTTGCAAGCTGCGCTGGCAGTGTCGTTGTGAACATGAGGGCCGGCTTTGCATGTCAGGACACTGTGTCGGGCTGGTGGGCTCTTGGAGATGCGACGATGGACCCTTCGGTGGACACTACACCATTAGTCCGAGCTACAGCGACGACTGGACACCCGAGACCAATCGTGACAGCCTGCTGCTTTGCACAGTCGCAAGGCCGGGTGCAAGGCACAAGAATGACGGCCTTGCGGCCTTGTGGTTTATAGTTTCGTGGAAGGCCTGTCTGGTCAGAGAAGGGCGAGGTCGACAGCAAACGCTTCGCCCTTCAAGCGGGTGCGTCGAAAGAACTCGTCAAGGACTTCGCTCACGATGGGCAGCATACCGATGGATGTTTCTCGTAGAAGTGGGACCAGGACACGTCTTTCACCTTGACTGCGACAATCCGACGAGATGCCGGCGGTGGGCCCCAGCATCCTGGCAGCATTGTGGCCGAATGCGAGAAGATGCACATGATATGTTGATGCCAGGACGCTGTTCAGCTCCAGCCATGACCGACCCCGTTGCAATCGGTTTGCAAAGTTTACACCTTGATTTCTCTGTGACGATCGGACGCTTGGAGGAGTCTTCCATCGTGGACAAGGATCTTCGAGCCTTTGTGAATGCGGACCGTGCAGAGAGATCGACCAACACATCTAGCAACATTGCAGTGCATGGTTTCCTGATGGCATTTTGCCGACCTGGTTTCCAGGACTCAACGTTCACCGTCCACTTCGGTTTCATGGCTGATTCTTGTGGCATTTCTTGCGCTGGGACGAGCTTTGGTTGGACACCACGCCGGACAGCTGTTCATGACCAAGCGAGCTAAAGCTGAGGCGGCCAATCCTGCCAGACAGCACCAACAGAGAAGAGTGTGGCCGGTGAGTGGCAGCATTTGGCTTTCATGTACGATATGGAGCAGATACTTGGCTCAGAATCCATGAACTGGCGAGTTCAAGAATCTGCAGAGCTGCTTCGGCTTGTTTAAAAACTGAGGAACGAGACCAGGATTTATCTCAACGCCCTTGAGATTAAGTCCTGTGCCTTTACGTTCCTTAGATGCACTCTTGCCGACCTGGTGAACTGCCGAAGATTGAAGAAGCCATTGTAGTCAGCATGCCTCAACGTGCATGCTCTTGGGGAAAAGCCATCAACACCGACGAACGTTTGACAATTGGCTTAGGTCGTCATTCTCGCCTGATGATGCTGCAAAGGTAGTACTTGGTGCTTACAAAGACTCGAACATGTGGATCGGAGCAATGAAGGACTGAAGCTGGGGTAGCTACGTGAAAACTCAATCATGTGCTTGGCCGGAATCTGCCGCAAATGCGAGGAAAGTGCGATTTACGCGCAGACTTTGAGTACACCCCTCATCGGGCGCTTGGCAGGTGATTTGGCGCTGCCGAAGGCAGGTGTCTTTCCCGTCACTCCCAGAAAACTCATAGCCCCCAGTCTGCCATCGCTGTAGGCAATGGTGTGGTTTTCGCATGAAGACAGCTGGAATCGAAAGAGCTTCGTCGAGGCTGTTAGCTTCTGTGCAAAGCGCAAGATGAAGCGACTCATCTGTATGCGGTGGGACAACTGGGAAAGGCTTCAGGGCCACAAGAAGGACTGCCCAAGTGCACACTGATATTTTGGGAACACCAGCGGTCCCGTAGCGTGAGGGGATGATCAAATGTTCATGCAGCACAAAGACAAGTGTAGTGATGAGGTTGGCGCATTTCGAAGACTATTGCACGCAGAACAGTGATGGAGTCTTCACTGTCCGTCCTCGGGTGGCTCCTGGCGACCAGTGGGCCCCATACGCAGGTCCGGTGCTTGGCAGTCCCTTTTGAACCCAGGGTGACTCTTGCCCGAGCTCGAGTGGCCTCCGACGGTGGTCGGGATATGATTGATGTGCGGTTGTAAAAAATGTAGAAACAGATTTCCGGCTTTTTGCAGATTGCATTGTCGCACAACCAGACCAAGGTGCGCAGGAGAATTCCTGGGTGCAGATCGGCAATGGAGCCAGCACGAAAAGTCCAGTGGAGCCCTGCAAGACCTACGAGCAGCAGTTTGGCGATAAGCCTGTCTGGGGAATGGATGGAAACGCCCAGCGATACAAATCCTTCCTTGCCTGCAAGGCCTCCTATGGATTCATCCCCTATCCTGCTGACAAGGGACAAGGGAAGTGCGAGAAGGGTGACGCAATACCGCACGACAATGCGGCCAAAACTGAATCTGCCTGCAAGATGCATTGTGTCAAGGAAAGCAGTTGTGCATTTGCAAGTTGGTCGGCTGCAGAACAAGATGGAACGTGCTCGTTGTTTTCCACTTGCGACACCTGGACCGCTTCATCATCATCCATGACGTGGATAAAGAAGCCGCTGCGCTGAGCCTTTCTGCTGGTCCCCCTCTGCCAGTGGCGCCGCTGCAGGGGATTTGAGCCAGTGGGACAAGATCAGCTGCAATGCCCGCTATACTTCAGTGATTGGGCACGGACGGTCGACTCAAAAGGATCTGCTTGCATGAGTGCACTTGTAGACGCAAGCCCTGCAAGGCTTCTGCTCATGCCACATATGAGAATCTTCATTGTGTTGTGGAAGGCGCTTCTAGTTTTAAGCTCCATTCCGCCCATCCACGGCCCCGAGGACATGTGGGTTGCACAGGATCGGTAGCCTCTTTTCCCTGGTGCTGCTTTTCAGGACGGCTAAGGAAGGGGCCAAAGCTCCGCTCTTGGAAAGATCTCTTCGTGCCATGCATCACACCGCTACGCTCCTTGCAGCGAGGCAGCCCCGAAGCCTGAGAGAGGCACAGGCGCTGTACAGCCATCGCGACCTGAGAATCCTGTCCCCTCCAAACCTTGGTCAGCCGTTCACTGCAGCCGCGGCATCTTGCCCGATCTTACGAGCAGGTTGCGGGGTATGGATCTGCATCTGTGAGGGGAGGGTATAAGGTGGCTCGAACTGCACATGTTCAAGTTGTACAGCAGAACACTCGGAGCAGAAACTGATCCAAGCTTGACAACGGAAGCAGCAACACCAGCAACCCGCACCCGCACTCCGATTTCCCAATCCTTTGTCCTTGCAGCGTCTGGAGTGCTGTGCCGTCGCCTCAGACGCCAGTCTCAGAGCGCTCAAGGTGTGCTTGCCGAATTCCGTTTCGGAACGTGCAAGAGATGGATGGCTGAGGTACCTGATAAGACTCTTGCCATGGCAACATTGTGGGAGCAGGGTGCAGCTGACAGACAGGCTCGGCAAAGACTGCGTCACAGCTCTTTGCTAAAGACCTCGTTGCCTCGCATCCCTAAGAACCCTCGATGGATGATTGTTCAGGCCGGTTGAGTTTCCTGTCCCTGATTTTGAACAAGATGTCCTCTCGTTCAAAGCTTCGGGCCCTCAGAGCCCCAGCAGCTGCACATCACCTGATCGGAAAGCCTCCTCAAGACCCTGCCGGAAACATGCGTGGAGGGGGGCATGCAGTGGGAGCCATTGGCCAGAAGGTGATGACATCCTTGACAGCCGCAACGTTGTTGATGCTTGCTTCCTATGTGGACCTTCGGGTTTATACTCTTCCGAGATCATAAAACCCCAAACAAATAGCAGATCACCTCGATCGCATAAACCACTGCATGCCCATTGAGCTTACTTTGCAGCACCGCCGCGAAGCCCAAACACACCTGAAGCAAATCCATAGTTCACGTGCAGCAGCTTTTCGTCACAGCAAGATGCAGTTCGACATTTCTTTGAAGCCTGCAGGTGGTGATCGACGCAGGCGCCGCCATTCGTCTGAAGCGCCTGGGTTGAAGCAGCTAGCAGATTCCGAAAGCTCTCTAGTGTCTCCTGCTTCTCAAAAGCGACTTAGCAATGATCCTATGCGTTTCTTCTCCCCACTCACCTGTATGCTTGAAAGAGGGGCATGAGAGAGTGCTTCTGCACGCAGTGTGCTCGATGCTTGCTGTCTAGAATGTGCATTGTGTGCTCGTCTTCCAGCGCCAGAGCAAGTTGCCGTCGGCGTTTCGAAGTTTCGTGTTTCCTGAGGCGATTAGAACGCTTCGGTGGTGAGCTCCTCACAACGAGTGGGGTTTATGCCGAGGCTCCGGCCCAATGCCGCATGTCTTCAAGCAGCGAGCAAAGCCTTTTCAGGTGCGAGACGAGCATGCAAGAGCCCTTCTGCAGACGCTGCCAGTTGAGCTGAAGGCACTTGATCTCTGGTTATGTCGCAGACAGCAGGAGGGCCAATTCTGCACCTTGACGTGATTTGAGGTCCTGGAGCCTCGACCAGAGGACTTCCCACAGTCAGAGAGACACCAGTATCTGTACTGCCTCACTTCGCTTCCTGCAGCTGTTTTACCAAGTGCACCTGGGTGCCTCAGCTTTCAAGCTGTGACCGTTGCTTCCGGAGTGGCAGCCCATTCGCCTCCTGTTCAGGCCGACTGCTGTGTTGTCCTTTGTCTGCGGGTAGTTGCGTCATCACTTCATGGACGACAGCGTTTTGGGCCTCAATCTCCAGAAGCGGGGAGACAGATGATACGATGCAAGACGGTTTGTTTAACTAGACACCTCGAGGAGAACCGTAGTAAGGCTTTTGACAAGGCACCGTAGGACAGTGTTGCAGCCATGGGATCCGAGCAGTCGCTCCCTGTTGCTGCCTTCAGCCTCGGTGACAGTCCCGTTCAGCTGCGTGGCCAATTTGTAAAGCCATTCATGCTCCCCAAAAGCTCTATGCAGGTTTTCAGAAGAGGCATCATGCCTTTGACTGAGGCTTGCTGCCACGGTCCTATTCCATGTTCCCTCAGCCTCGAAGCTTCGGGGATCTGCCTCTTACTCAGACTCAAATGCACTGACGAACTCTTCCGCCGAGTTCCCAGGGGGGTGCTGCTTGCTCTGAGGAGCCTCTAGATGCCTACCATACCTCCATCGTCGTGGGCCAGGCCTGCTCCGCTTCTGCATTTTTCCGTCAGCTGTTGCTCTGTCTTGTCAGGTGGAGTATTCGTTCAGTGGCCAGGGAATCCGGGCACCCTAGCGGCATGTGGCATGTACCTTTGAGGCCATGCGACAACTTCCCTTAGCTCTCCGTGACTCCCGAACACCAAGGAAACGAAACCCTTGGTTTCCCATTCCATGCTCAAGCGGAACACGGAAGTGCAGCTTGGTTTTGTTCGTCGGGAAGTTGTCGTGACACGGGCATCTGAAGCCTGGTAGCTCTGCAAGTTTGCTTCAGGAAAACCATTGGGCATACGCCCTTCTCCGGCTATCAGGCCTGCATCCCGTGACCACCCGCCTTTGCCCAGGGCCCTGCTGCAGGGCGTCATCCCTAGAAGTGAGCCCTTCTCTTGATCAGATGGTGGCATTGCTGAACCAGTTCTTCCAACCTGCTACCTATGCATCTCGTCCTGAGCGAATTAAGGCAGTGTGCTGGAACGCGAGCCATATCTTGTTGCACAGTTTTTCCATCATGAAACTGAGCTCGTCAAGCAGTGGGCCTGAAATCTGAGGATCTGCTGTGCAAGAATTGCAACAGCTTCTCTGATTGTGCAAGGCCCTGAGCTTGCGCTCGACGCGATACCGCAACGCGACAAAACATACCGGTACAGCTGGCAGCGAATCGAACTAAAGTGTTTACTCAGTACTGCTGGAAGTATTGCATTCCCGCCTTCGTTCATTACAGCATGCAACATGCCCAGGCCCTGTACTTTCTGCTCGGGCAGCGGCTGGAGGCATGGTCGTGTCTCGAGCCTCACAGTGCGACGAGTTGCCTACTTTCCCGGCTGCAGGGCAAGTACTGCAGGATGGAAAAGTATGGAAGGACTGGGCAGACCCTTGACTCAATGCAGATGGCACGGGTCCGTCTTTTCACGGTCCGGCACCACCGTCAGCTAAGAGATGTCCGGGGCATGCCGGGCCGTTGGATTGTCAAAAGAGTCGTCACAAGAAGAAGCTGTTCGCATTCCATGCAGGCAGGCTACATAGGCACTCCTGCCCCCCTTTGACAGCTATGTGCTACATGGGGACATCATTTCTCTTCAGTACCTTTCTTTGTCCTGTCGCCTTTGTTTGGAATGCGGCACAGTCCCGAACGACCTTGCTGAGGAAGCGGATTGGCTTGATGTCTGGACTGAGGCTTCTAGGCGAGAGCCAGTCGAGTCGAGGGAACTCCCAGTTAGCGAATGACATCCAAGAGCTAATAGAATAAGGAGCTAAGCGAGAGGCGGAAGATCCTCAAGCCTTCCAGAGCACCTTGGCCGCAGCTGCGCTATTGCTTGACTTTCTGGGCAGGCATGAATTACCATCCGAACCCGAGCTCGCAGGGCTTCCAGGCCCAGAGACCTGCATCGATGCGACGTTGACTCCTGATCGTCTCATGACTTGTCACACACGGTCCGTGCTGAACAGGTTGAGCAAGTCATCCAGAGGATCAAAGCTTACAAGGGACCTGGTCACGTGGACGGGGGTCTTCGAAAATCTCAGCATGGCTCACGCATCAAGGTTGTTTTAAGGCGCTGCGTTGAAGCAGATCGTTCTAGAGGAGTCCCTGGCAGGAGCTGCAGGATGGTCATTCGCCCTCGGAGCCCTGCTGCTGTCACCTCTTCTTTTGAGTTTCGGATGTCCGCAGATCTGCTTCATTTCTTGTGACATGATCTGCTGGCCGATATCAAACGGGCGCATTGACGAAAGAGTACATGTCGTGACGACATGCGCTCTCTTGAGCCACACATTCACGTGGAAGCGTTGGCCTGTGTGGATCCGATCGGGTTTGAAATTTGCCGGTACGGCAAAAGTTAGTAGCTACTCGCAAGTTTGATGGGATTGAGCGGAGCGGAGCAGAGCGAAGCTGTGAGCTACGCTACGCAGCTACAGCTACACTCTTAGAGCCGCTGTAGTCTTCTTTGTACCTGTCAAAGGCAGGCACGCTTTGGACTTGCCCGGTCTCCCGCGTGATAGAAAAGATTCGCGGTTTCGTTCTGTGCTACCTTGACGAAAATCGCATGACGAGATTCAGCGGACTCTCCACCAGGCGAGCGGCCAGACGACCTGTTGGGTGAGCATGGACTGCAGGCGCGAGGACCAGCTTGGCGGGAGCCGGCACGTGAATTTAGGCAAGATTCTGCACGGCCATCCTGAATCCTGGGTCGGCGGTGTTTGGAGGCAGAGGGGTTGTTGTGAAAATCGAGCTGTGACTGAGGAGGCTGCAGTTCATGCCTCGCCACGAGTCGCGCATGGCGGCGTTCCTGCTAGAAGCGCTGGAAATTGCAGCGCGTTTGAAAGTTTGTCACAGTCGGTGTCTCAGCATCTGCACATCGACTCAATTCAAGATGGGTGTGATGCACGACGCGCTCAGTGGTTATAAAAGCTGCCTGGTGTGTGTCGTGCGCTGCCGGTCCTGCATCCGAACTGGGCTCTCTGCGGATGCGCCTTCGTCGCTTCTCATCATCGTATGTCACTGTTTCGCTGCTGTGGCAGGACATTGCCTTTGCGAAGCAATTTTCCAAGGCGCGCGCAGGCAGGGTTTCAGGAAAGCATGTCTGCGGAATGTGTGCGCAAGGCCACAGGTGACTTTGGCTTTCTGTCTACGAATGACCTCGATTTGATTGCAAGGGGCCCGGAGTGGCCCAGTGGTTCCATGCAGGCATCTGCCAGAGGAAGTTTGTACCTTCCAGGCACTCACCGTGCGGCTGCACCGCGAGGCTTCTTCAGCAGCAGACTGGATGTGAGATCCGGGCCCGGACTTCGTCGCAGGCACATTTGTCCCTCAAAGACCGACCTGCGGCGCTGGAGACTCGCAGCGAAGGATCGGGGCGTGCCGCTTCGAAGCATTTCGAAATTCATGATGTTCGATTGGTGAGACGAGGACGTGCTGTTCCGTTCGATTGGGGTCCACAGCGTGCCCCTACAACGACCTCCGCCGATGCAGGCCTGCTGGCTCTTGTTGATTCTGTACTGGTGGAAACTGGCCAACCCTGTACAAACGGATAGGATCGGGACCCGAAAACGTACGCGAAGATGAAGCTATTTGACCACCAGATGATGGCCTTGTTGTAGTCGTGGAAGTAGAACCCAACGTTCATGTCAATGTGGTGACAGAGCACCGGCCTGTTCTGTCCCAAAACGACTTTGTTCAGTGAAGGGATGAACCGTTGGCTGGAAACTTGTGACTCGGACTGGAGGTGGTGTGCAGCAGCCTGCGACAGAAGAGGATGCGCAAGGTCGTAATCTTGTCACTCCTTGTCGTGCGGCTGTCTGTGCGTATGCAAAGGCGACGATGGTTGGGCTGTAGCACGTGGACGTCGTACGAGGGGGGTTTTGGCCCTGGCCTGGCCACTTTGGCGAGATGCACTGCTCCAGTCTCTCGTGGAACGGCAGGCAAGGGTGGGAGGTCTGAAGAGTGATGGACAGCGAGCGGCAGAGCTTCCGCAGTCTGTCGAGGATGGGATAGGGTTTCAATTCTTCAGCTCAGCTGCGCCGAATCTGAGCAGAAAGTGGGAGGACGCCCGTACAGACGAGGAAGCGAAGACCGTGATCCCTCCGGATCAGCTCCGCACCAAGTCGTGCCGCTGAATGTGTCAGATGCTTTGCATGTTAGCGACTGTTAGTGATCCTGCTCAGACTGAGGACGGCCATGACGGCCCCATCTGTTGACACCGAGGGCGGTGGTGGCATCCCACGGTCAGACGACGAGCAGCTCCGACGGGAATTTGTGAGAACTTTGTCTGTACTTCAGTCAGTAGGAATCGTGTCGGTGCGAAACATTTCTACGGCTCTGCTCGATCCTTGCATGGGATCCTTTTGCGCCAGCGGGAGAAGACGGGCCCAAATTCGAAGCTCCGGCGAGCCATGTGGGTGAATTGCTGGCAACGCTTCCCTCACTTAAATTTCTTTGTATTGCGTACGTCGTGCTGGTGAGTTCTCTGAGCATGCTCGTATGGAGCCGGGTTGTGACGGAGAGCCACGAGACCAGTACAGTAGGTGCGGGTGTTCTGGCGTGGCCAAGACAAGCTTTTGTTCTATGATTTCTGTGTCCAGCCAGGGACCTGCCCTCCGGTGCATGGATTGCAAGACTCTGCTCCTTCCAAACGGCCCCAGTGACCAAAAGCTTGACCCCAATTTGAGATGACTAATTACACCAGAGAAGTGTTGTAGCTGGGCGGGATGTTTCACATGTTGCATCTCCCCTCTACCTGCAGTACCGACCCCGCCTCTTTCTGATTTTGCCCTGCTGGTACAGACTTGTCTTCATTCGTTTCTCACAGCTTTCTGACTTTTTGTTCCGTTTCCAGACTCGTGCTTCGATTGGACCTGCAACACATTGCCAGCTGCGAGGCCTTGTGACAAGAACGTGCCATGGAGTCATGATCTCCTGCCTAGCCAGGGTGCCATGATCTTCGTCTTTGTCGATCTCGTGTCTTCTTCCGGTGTGGTCTTGTGGTACACTTCAGTCACTTTGTTTCTGTCAGCCAGTTCCGCTCTGTGCTTGCCCAGCTGTTCCGATGTCGTTTCCGGCTTTCCTGCACTGTCGGATTCCTTGTGACCCTACTGCCAGACTCGTTGCATCCCATCAACAGCGAGCGACCGAAGAGCAGACTGGATGTTGCCGTTGATGTCGAGCAACGGCAGACCCGTACGAGTAAGTGTCTGGTAGTTCCTGTCGTAGCCTGCACGGTCAGAGAACCAATGAACCCAGAAGTTAAACAAAATCAAATCTGGATTGAGTGGTTCGATTTTGACCTACCTTGGACCTTGAAAAGTCACAAAAAAGTCTGGTTTTGATTGTTTGTCTATGCATTCATCCAATAAACAGTTAAATCCTGCGCTTACTGTCTCGCTGCATACCAGTAGAATCTGCTGAGAGACGTGTGCCAGTTCGCTACCTACGGGAAACCCATGAAATCATGATTTAATTGCGTAACTTGGCGTCCTTATTTGGGAACAACCTGCAATGTAGTTGGGTGCCTATCAGGTTCGAAGGACAGCTTCTAAAAAGTAGGTAGATCACCACAAGTCGCACCAAACACTGGAAACATGGATTTATAGGGATCTTCTTAGAACTAGGTTGTACTGTTCTACCCACGTACGACTAGTTTACTTTCAAGTTCGGGACTTTCAGGGCCAAAAAATAAAGTCAGCGTTTGATTGATAGGGACTCTTGGGAGCCATGTCCGAAAAATTCGTGGGTATCTTGTGCGATTCAGGTATAGATAGAGCAAGTAGGCGACATACTTAGATCATGATTTTACTTTAACTAATGCTGGGAATGTCCAAACATGTAGTGACGATCTCGTGATTGATTCAGCTCGTCTCGCCTTGTCTAGTCTGCTATAGCATAGTCTAGCCTAGCCCATGATAGAAGCCCAGAAAGTTGGGACATGACTATCCTCATGCCCTCAAGTTAGAGTGTAAGGAATTCGAACAGACATCATCCGTAACCCATGTTCCAACTTTGCTGGGATTTGCTGTAGTCTGGTCTAGTCTAGTCTAGTCCAGTCCAATCCAGTCTAGTCTATCTGGTTTGTGCATTGTCTATAGTCTGTACGGTCTACAGTGTAATGATTTTTTGCCAACTCTTCGAGACAAGTAAGTCCGATTTAGTATGTCGATTTAGTTGTCTTCAGGTTTAGTCATTGAGTCATTGATTCAGATCCATTAAATCTGGATTTGGGGGTAGTGTAGGAGGAAGACTCAACTCCTGATTTGATTATGCCGCTTAGGTATCAGCACAGGCATGGAATGGAACGTCCCGCAACGTTCAAGGTCCAATTAAATCATGAGTAAAGCTGAGAATGCCGGACAGTCGCCCCCTGCTTGGTTGACCCTGGGTGGTCGCATTGACCTACTTCCATATCACAACATGGCGCAGGTGCCCCACGGTAAAAGTCCTCCCAGGCAACTAAATCCAAAGCCAAGCCTCGTCTCATTCACTTGTTGGACCAGCCCGTCGAAGTGCTGTCCAAGACGGCCCGATGCCGGGCCATAACTCCGGAGTTCGTTTGTTTTGAACTCTTGGATTCACTGCCTTCCCTCATGGTCACGTGGCCTCATTTGTAAGGCAAGCCGCTCGCGAGACGCAGGCATCGCAGGCCGGCTGCCTCGCTTCCTCCGCCTTTGCGATTTAGGGAGCTGTCAGGATGCTGGGGATGCTGGGGCAGAGCTGCAGGAGGAGCACCGGGCACTGACTGTTGACAGCTCTTCGCGGTCTGTGGAATCTGTGAGGATGGGGAACTAAGTGAAGATGGAAGTAGTGCCGGCGAGTGGGTCACAGAGGAGCGCGACTCTAGGAGTGCTAACCGGGCCAAGCATCAACCTTCTGCTTTGAAACGGGCTGTTGCAATCACTGCTTCAGGAGAACATGCACAGATTTGGGATTGGTGACTGGCTCTCAGATTCTGCCGCAGACCTTCTGTGCTTTGAAGTTTTGCTGTTGCCGGTGAAAGTGTTTCGACTGCTAAGATCCAACCGAAAGCTGACCTGCGTGTCACTTGTGCAACGGCCGACTACTCCGTGCAGAATGCGCCCCCCCCCCCACCCTTCGCACTGTGGTGCGTTCAGCCTTTCGGAATGTTTGGAATTTTTGCAGTAGAAGGGCATATTCGGTAGGCGCAAGCCACGGCACGTCCAGACATGTGCTCCACTGTCAAGATCTAGCCAGGTCTCAACAATTCTTAATTCTATCATTCTTCATGTGTGCTGTTTGGACTTGTTCGGGTACCGTTTGAGTGCAGCAAGACAAAGCTCGTCCGCACCTCCGCCGTGGCGGCATGTTGTGCCTACGTGGGATGCTCGGTGCCAGATTCGGGCTGTTCATCTCCAGAATGTCCGGCCGCTTGCTAACTGCATATGCTCCGCCGGCTCCGCTGCTGGGTGTTGATTTGCAGCGGCCTTCAAGTGTCTTCCCGATCCGCAGACTTGGGTGATGGCCTCCAGCACTGCTGGCGCGCAGGCACTTCGGCTGCTGGTACAACTACAAGCAGATGTACCGCACCGGTAGCTGTAGATGTACGTACCCGAGTCCGCGTGACAACAGCGAAGGCAATGTGTTAAGGTCTTCCACGATTCTAGCGGCATTGGCCATGATGTTTGCATTCTTCTGAAAAGACCAGTCGAACATGAAGCCTTCTTGTCTTGGCCCTGGAGGTCTTCTGCAGCTCAGGGAGTGTGCCCCAGGCGAGCCCTCCGGCTGTTGCGATGATCTTCGAGGAATCCCATGGTCAGAGTTGAAGGAGAGCAGCCTCTTCCAGACGACTTGGGCGGACTGGTTGCGATTCTTAGAGGCTCCTGGCCGCTGCCAGCGAATCCCGCAACCTGAAGGTGAGGTGTTGACCTGCGTATATCGTGACGGTTGTCTAGATCTGGAAGATGCTGCAGCGCTGCTGTCAAACTCGGACAGAACACAAGCTGTGCTTTGGACGGCGTGCGCTCCTTTGTCATTGATCGCTCAGCTCTTCTGGCTGCACCTCGACATTTCCTTGCCAGAAAGAGGACTAGAATCACAGATCCTGGCTCGCGTCCCCGAGCTTCTGCGCCTCTTTGTCTTGCACGCCGGCTTGCGGCACTGGCGGCGTGGCTCGCGTGGCTCTCCAGGCTCCATCGGGACAGCAGAGGCAGAGCTCGAGATGCTTCGCATGCTCCACGTGACGGAGGGGAGAGTCGTCGGCAAGCTGAGGTCTCGGCTCGCAGAGCATCGGAACGATTTCAGCCGCTGCGATGTGTGCTGTTCCGATGCAACCTGTCCTCATTCCGAGGGAACCGTGCAAGGGCTGTGTCCCGCTGACACCCGCTTCGACGCCGTTCAAGACTTGCGAGATCGGCTCTGGTCGCGAGCAGCCTCCGTGCTGGATGCGCTCGACGCCCATGCCGAGCAAGGTCCTGGAGCTGCGGCTTGGCGCCCAGTACTCGGAGACTCGCGGATACGCGCCGGCGCTCGCCATGCGTCCAGGTGCCGCCAGGCGCCTCCCAATTCATCTCTCGCTTCTCGTACTGTGCTGCTCTCAAGGCAGAAAGGCATCGAGGATGCTGAGCGTGGTCGTTGATCGAAGAATCGAAACTCAGGCGATGAGGTCGCACGGGAGCGGACTGCCAATATGAGCCACAAGGAAGAAGTGGAGCCCTCCCAGCCTGTTCCTGCCCACGGTTCCTTGCTCGCATCGTTCTCTAGTTCATCCAAGCTGTGAAGCCAGGATGCTGTGGACGGCCGGCAGCCTCAACTGATGGACGCAGCTGGGAACGATTCGAGCGGGAACGGAGTTCAGAGGTGCTGAACTTCTCCTCCTGCGCATATCACCAGGCCCTGCTGCAAATCTCTTGCTACCGGGAAAAAAGTTTTCTGTGCTCGGAGGTCGCCGATTTCATTTACTGCCATGGCCAGCAGCGGCAAGACTGGCAGCTGTTCAGCGCTGCTCGTATGCTGCAGCAGGCCCGGAAAAGGCCCGTGCTTGAATCCTCAGCGCAACTGCCAACACTGCTCTGTTGAGAAGGCGGGCACCTTGGTGCTACTTTGCACAGGGTGCAGCTCGATGTGGCCGCTGCCTGAATGCAGCAAGTCCAGAGACTCACTTTCGGGAAATTTGCGTTGGGGTGGGAGGATGCACGGGCATTGAACCAGTCGGTCCCAACTCGAGGCCTTTGCCCTTTACGCTTTCAGACTTGCGCATGCCTCATTTTTTTTGGCCGTGACCACTCAACTGAGCATGGTGCCATGGTCCTGGCTACACTCAGGTGGCACAATCTTTACCGGTCGATGGATTGGGCCGTCAAGACCATGGAGGCAAAATGGCCGGACGGGCAGCACCAGCATAGTATGTAATTAGAGGCTTAGCAAACAGCAAGCAGCATGCACTGATGGCTTGCGCCGAGATGGCCCAGACCGGGCCTCCGTCGCCAGGTTCTGCCAGGCCATGACCTCGGCGGTGGGGGCCTGTGCAAGTCCCCAGAAACGACCTGCAGTGAAGGATGTTTGTCCGGGCTCTGAGCAGCTGCCAGATCTGGGAGACGGAGGCCTGAGAAAACATACAACGGCTAAGTCTATCGGACCCGATCGCAGGAACCTCAGACTCTCTCCATGGATCCAGAGCGGAAGCTGTGGCTGCCGGATGAAGCTGAAGGCAAGTTGTTTGCCACAGCACTGGCAGAAAGTGGGTAAGCCCGGCTCCCCGACGCTAAGGTTGGAAGACATGTCCTCTCCGGCTGGGGCCAGTCCAGCTTGTGACGGGAAAGCTGCAGGCGCTGGTTTTACGTAAAGGGCTCTCGCAGCTCGCGGATCCCAAGACGAAGCGACCAGGTCGATGTTCGGGTTCTACGCCAGCCGCTGCTTCAGGCATTGCTCCGTGCTCCTTGATCTGTCTGCGCATGGGGTCCGGCGCCAAGGCATGCCACGCCGCGGTGCGATACCGCGTGCATCCCATCGTCATGCAGAGGCATACACAAGGGATCAGAAGGGCTTGCGATCCCCGTGAAGACAGCGCTGCAGTTCCGCATGATGCCGCGAGTCTTGGCCACTAGGTCCTCGGCTCTCCAAAGCCGAGATGGCACACTTCTCGTTTTGCCACTAGCAGATTTGTCCGCATCCCGAGTTGGCAAATCGTCGGTCATGTGATGTGAGTCATGGAGCTTTTGACACAGCCAGGCTGTCAGCTGGATCAAGTCAGGAACACTTTGCAAGATATGGAGTCAAGCAGAAGCAACAAGGGCTCGGGTCGAACACGGGAGTACCAGTCAACTCGTAGCAATGTTGCAGGCCTATAAATGTGTACTTGCTCAACGTCTCTCGTCATGATTAGTCCAACCCATCGAATGGCCTTGCATGCCTGAGATGTTGTGGTGCCTGCGCGTCCGTGTCACATCTGTCCATGTCACTCGACTACGGACGCTTCGACGAAGTGGTCGACGAAGATGCTCTGGGCTTCTCAGCAGGCAGAGAGGAAAGGAGACACGCGTTTCACCTAACATAGAAACCAAACACGAGCTGAGGCGAGCCCGAGCTGGCGGAAGGTTCCGACGATGCCAAGGCATCCACGCCACAGCCGATACAGCCGTCGCAGACAAGTTATGAGGACCCAGAGACGCTGTCAGGTCAGGGTTCTGTCGGCCGTTCGCAGCCAGAAGACGAGGGCCGACCGCGAGGCTGCCAATGGCAACCTGCGAGAAGCTTTGAGTCCCAGGCTCAGGAGCCGAAGGAGCCGAAGCGGAAGCCGCCTCCACTCGTGGCGGACCGAGGGCTCTACGACGATGCCAGCGCGATCCTTCTCTCCCTTCAGGACTCGCCGTGTTGCTCATCGGCCCTTTCACCTGCGAACGGTTTCTTTCGACTTAGGGATTCTGCGCCGCAATTGAACGGGCTCACCGTTGACAGATAGGAAGAAAACTTGGGGACGTCAAGCCGTCGCCAAAGGGAAGGATTGCCTGATCTTGCATGCTGAAGTGCAGGGTCCAGGGGTCTTTACTCGTCCGCTTGCACAAGGATGCCAGCACGGAGGGCGCCCTGAAGGCGACAGACATGACTCCAAATCCACAATCTTGATGGATGTCCAATGATGTCCAAAACAGTACTACCACTGGTCTCACGAGAAGAGTCTGCAAATATCTGCATCACTTCATGCCCGTCGATCCGAAGGCCGTTGACCTGCGAGTGGAGGCGCTCAGCATTCGGCTAATGGCGGCCAAGGCCCTCTCCTTGCTGGGCGATCCTTGGCACAGACGCAACAGGTTTGGCACCCGTGTCTTCTCCGGACTCCGTGCTTTCGCGGGCCAAGGACTGGATCCAGGCTCGCAAGTCGAGGCGCAACAGCCATGGGGGGCTGTGCCGGATGTTCCTGTGCAGGCAGAAGCCCGCGCGAGCAAAGCTCTCGAGGCGCGCATTCACTGTCGCTGTTGGCAGCTACTCCGGCCTTGGCCTTTGCTTCGCTGTCTGCAGGCGGCGACGTTCTGCCCAGGATCTGGCGAGGAGCTCACGGAGCTCACTGAGCTCGGGATAGCTTCCGAGGTGCTCCCCCAAGCAACCCCCTTCTCACGCACAGCTCCGGGAAAACTGTCTGCCAGGCATCAAGTGAAGGAGCCGTGGCAGCACTGAGATTGCGAAGCATCGTGACAGTGTGTACATGGATGGCATCCAATCCAAGGGACGCTGGTCCACAGAGATGCTGGGGAAGCATTGCTTTGTCGTGCAAGGGCGCGACTCAAGCTCGGCGATGCAGCCCGGGCGCGCGAAGATGCCGCCAAGGCTCGAAACTTGTTTGGCCCCTCGGCTGCTCGCAGGCACAACGTGACTAATGACGAATAGAGCTGCGGAGTGCTGTCGTGATGTAGTTGCAGAATTGAAAGGTCAATTGCACGACCCGCTGAAGCAGGCATCAATGCACAGATAGGGACTCAGACCTGCTTGTGCCTTCCCATTGATGCCAGGAAGCTGCTGATGGATTCTTGATGCAGGCGTCGGTGTCTTCCGCAGCTCAACCTTGGGGCCTCCGGGCTGGTAGTCTTTCGGCCTTCAGGCTCAGATGGTCATCGCCGCGAGTGGGCATGATCCAAAGACTTTGAGCCGGAGTTGCGAGAGCCGGGCTTCAGGAAAGGCGACGTTCGGTCTTCTTCGAGCAGGTGTGCCATCGTGTGCAGAGAGTGCCTGTTTTGGGTTGCGAGGACCCCTCGCAGAAGAGCTTGGGCAGCTGCAGGCTCGCAGCACCTCGCGGCTCGTGTGCAGAGTGTTGCTGTCTGTAGGATGTGGCCCCGATCTGCAGCCTCCCTCTTTCCAAGATGACGCTCGGCTGACACCAAGCGGTGCCATGCGGTGCTTTTTGCACCTGCCGGTTTTGGCGCCTGGCTTGAATCGAGGCCGGGACCGGAAGACTTCGTCGGGCTGGAGGAGATGGACTGAGGGCAGAGCTCGTTGAAACGCCGCAGAGGTCGTGACAACTCGGCTTCTGCCAATTGTGTGAGATGAAAAGAGAAACATGAACATCGTGACTTGCTGCCCGCCTGTTTGAGTTGCAAGTTTCGCCTGGCAGACGTTTGCAATCTTCCCCAGGTCGTTTCACATCTCAGTTGCCTTCAGAACGTGGCTGGGAGGCCGTTGCAGCGCATGAGTATAGCCGCGCGGGGTCACCGCACATAACTCTATTTCCGTTGCTCAGCCCGAAACCAGGCGCTTTGCTATTGGTGCACCATCTTCTGGGTGGGCCGGAGAAGGTGACACTGCTGCTGGCGGACCATGATGAGGCCGGCCCGAGGTTTTGCTGTGGCGTTCCGCATCTCATCGTTCCACCTCCTATGACGTTCACCATCGTTCACCTACACGTGTGAGTTTATTTAGAAGAGCGAGGTGGCAAGGTGCCTCGGAGAGCGGAGTTTCTGGAGCCAAGGGAGGTAGCCTGGCGCAGCTGGAAGCAGTATGCAGGCACATCTTACAGGAGTCCAAAGAAGCAGCAGCAGGCACAGTATCCACAAGTCGAAGTATCAACTCATCTAGGAGTCACTCCTGGCCAAGAACAGAATAAAGTTGAGCACCAGGTGGTTGATTTAAAGCGCCGCCTACTAGGCCATATGAGGCCGCACAAGCATCTCTTTCGAACGACTTGTCTGTATGATTCCTCCATCGCACAATTGACCAGAAAGCACGGTTCGGGTTGGTGTTGTTGGGGTGCTGGCAGCCTGAGTGTTCGGTTTGTGGTCTTCCAGGCCGAACCATTCTCCAGCCTGCCCCGTGCAGTTCGGTACGGAGGTCCGAGTGTTGACGCCTTTGTGCCTTTGTCAAGACTGAAGAATTCGAACGCAGTTGGAGGAAGCCATGGCGGCTTTGGTGCGAGGAGTCGCCACGGCAACCTGAGCCCGTCGGGCTGGCATGACCTTTGCTTGGTGCTTCGGTGCTCGTGTGTTCTCACGCATCTCGGAGCCTTTGATTGGGTGCAGGCTGCTGGGAATGCTGTCGGCTCTCTAGCACTTCATGTGCTCCACCCTTCGCCGTGCTGATGCCCGGTGCATTTCTAAGGTCCCATTCTCGGGTGCTGTGGCTCTCTGAAGGTGGGAACTTCTTTACAGTCTAGTGCAGACATGTTGCTCGGGTCTATCTTGGCGGCTTCACAAGCACAGACATTCCACCGGTTGGTCTAAGATCAGGTTCCAACGCTCGGTTCGCAGATGCAGTGATGTCCTTGGCAACCTGCCCTGATCGACCTTGCCAGCTCAGTCTTCCCCGCATCCGCATGAGGTATGGGGGTTCCCAATCCCTGGGCTGATGCACGGTCGGAAGACCGAGGCAAAAGCTTTTATTGTGAAGCTTCGTGACCGTCCGTGTCATGATTCCAAATTGTTGAGCAGACAATTGCAGATGTTATGTCAATGTTGGCGCTTGCAGTACGACTGCAGTGGCAGTTTCTGCTTCGGGCTCCGCCGCCTCGCTCCACTGGGCCAGGTGTGCTGTGAGTTTTGGCAATGCTGTCTCCACTCACATCACTCACATGAGCGTATCTGGGCGAGTGCAGGCTGCAGTAACCTTGCGGCCAGCACTGGATCACCTTTGCGTCCACCCTGCAAGGTGCGTCAGCATGCCATGGGATGGTGCCCACTCGAGGCTGCGCGTTCCTGCGAGGCCGAGGAGGCGAATTCGCATGCTCCTGGTGCAGCGTCGGGGGCCCTTGCCCACGCGCACTGCGCTGGTTCTTGCTGCCGCGCTGTTCTCTCTTCAGGTCCGAGGCATCTTTCGCGGCGAATTGGAAACGCGAGACTGATGGCCATGGCCTTTCGAGAGACGACGACCAGGGGCCCTATGTCGTATTGAATCGGGTGGTAAGGCCAAGTTGTGGCAGGCAGCGCATGCCTCTCAGCTGACCGCAAGAAGTTTCAAGAGGGCAGCAAGTGGATTATAAGGTTCCCGCAGCTCGTGGTCGAAATCTGGCGTCCCGAACTGCACCCCATCATGGAGCAGGTCAAGCTGACGGAAATACTCACCTCTGGGATCTCCTGACCTTTGGGAGGTGCGCCGCATGTCACGCGTGGAGGCCCTGGCGGCTGTTACCGGGCAGGTGCCTCGACATGGCCACAGAGTGCCGTGGAGACTTCCCACCAGATTCCCCAGAAGCGTGGTGCACGCGGCATGCAGAGGCTTGTGGCTTGGGAGCCTTCCTTCACAGAGGCTCCGTCTTGCTGGAGGCCATCGCTTGCTCACAGCACGCATAGACTGCATAGAGCTCTAGGATGCTCTCTCGGACGAGCTTTGGCTCCATTCGCCTCTTGTCCAGTTTACGCCGGCGCTGGATGGCTATGGCTGCCACCCAGGGTGGGCCGACCCGTCTCGTTGAGAACCGAGCACGTGGCCTTTGCCGACTGCTCGCTGCGGCCAGGATATGAACCCCACAAGCGAGGCTCCACTTCTCTGCTTCTTGGCACCTGATGACGGCACAGCATGCCAGGTAGGACAAATTGCGCGGCTTGCAGAAATTCACCATCGCTGCGTGCCGGCCTCACCCGAAAACTCAGGCGGTTTTGCAATCCATAAGACCAGCAGCAATACCGTTGGATGCTCCCTACAGGTAATGTCCACATGTGTGGGTGTTGCTGCAAATACGCCGCTGCCGGCAAAGCTGTCAGCACCTGAAAGAGTGGCGTCTGCGACAGAGGCACTGCAGTACCCAGACCCGTTGAAACCTGTGTTCGAACACCAGATCGGCCGAGCTGGCGTTGCAAAGCCGAGCGACAGCAGGACCGGCCAAGCATCCTCACTCAAGAAAGCACCTGCAGTTGGGATATGCATCCGGAACCGGGTAAGTTTCTGTCTTCAAACTCGATTCTTGCCAACGGCGCGCACGCTCGCAGATCCTGACAGCAGAACTCCCGATGAGACGTTCATGATTTGCTGTGCGCAGGAGGTGCAGACCCATTGCTTCTCGCAGAAGCAGGTCTAACATGGAGAACGGCGGCCTTTGCCAGAAACTAATTTCTGTACCTTGTGAGTGGCGGAGAGCAGCTTCCGAAGCCCAGGTGATCTTCCCGCCTCTTGGAAGAGGCCCCGAGCCGCTGAGCATCCGATGCACTCCAAGCGCTGACATCGTCTAGGCCTGTGGCGAGTGCTCGCACAGGCGGCCTTCCCCCCAGCTCAGCTTCTAGGGGGCAGCATCGTTCAACGCACCTCATCCTGAGGTGCATCTGGTTCTTGCCTCACGACTTCAGTCGGATGCTTCTGCACTGGGAGCAAAAGGGGCGCGGATTCTGCAGGGAAGGTTTGTGAGCCCCAGCACCTGAGCAAATGAAACGCAGCACTTCGCGCGCCAAAGGTCGGCGCAGTAAGTGTGCCAAGAAAGCAGTTGCTGCGTGTGTCTGGCGGCGAGTTAGGGAGTGCGTGAGTGTGTGAGTGCGTGTGTGTGTGTGTGAGAGAGAGAGAGAGAGAGAGAGAGAGAGAGAGCCCTGCAGAAAGAAAAAAAAAGAGAGAGCCCCTATGCTTGGGAGAAGAACAGAGAGAGAAAGCGAGAGCGAGAGTGTGCGTGTGGATGTGTGAAAACTGAGTCGCAGACTTCATTGGAGGTACTGCTGCAAATGGGAATTACTCCGCTGACCTTCGACGGCTATGCGGTGAAGAGCGTCAAACTGCAGCATCCTCAACCCCGCATGTGTTTCTATGCTCAATGTTTGTTGGTGGAGTGGCATCTCCTGGATGGAGGTGGGGCCTGATTTGCAGGGTCAACCTGCCTCGTTTGACTGGACTGTGTCTGAGTGTCTCCCAGATGAATTTGTGCAGGCATGTGGCCATTTCCATCGGGACTCATCGAAGGTGCATGTGGAGTTGACTTCAGACGCATGTTCAGGGGTGATGGTTGGCGATTGCAAGGTGTTTTGCCCAAAGTGTGGCAATGACACGGTCGTGCGAGTCCCGATCGTCGTGGATGAGGCGCGGGTGCGGCCGTCTGATTCTGTCACGCAGTTTTGACGGAGAGACTTTAAGACTCCAAGGACGGTGTTCCTACTGTGGTCAATTCTGGGAGGAAGCTCAGGAGCCTGTTCAAAGACCCGAGCAATGAGCTTTGGTCCAAGCCCTCCCGGGCCTGAAGGACAAAGGGGACGGTGTTCTCCATGCCCAAGCCGCAAAGTGGCAGGGTGTGGAAGCCGATTTTCGCAGAGGACAGAGTGTGATCAGCTTTGGTGTTGTCGAGAGCGTATGAGTTTGTCTTGAAACTGCTGCACGGATATCGGATCAAAGTATCGGCCCCCACACAGGCAGGCAGGATCATGAGGGCCTGCTTTTTGCAGTAGGATGTGCGAAGGCATTGTAGGCTTTGAAGTGTTCTCAAGTGCATCGTACTCCAAGTAGTGCACGCAAGTTTTCCTGCACTCGCATTGCCAACATGGCGGCGATGTCACCAAAGGCCGGATTCTGAATGCAGGTTGCTTCAAGCCAAGGGACAGCTTAGCTGCCCGTTCGTGCAGTCTCCAGAAAGAGCTCTTCTGAGCAAGACTCAGCGCATTGTCGTTGGGAGCTTATTTTCAGAGGGCGGCTTTTGAGGCTGATCTGCTGCAGGGCAAGTCGGCAACACATTTTCCACCGCTTCAAGCTCTCTATTTCTAGGCTCTTGGTGGCGAGCGAGCAGCCACCAAGCAGTTTTTTGAAGCCCGGGTCCTCAGCGGAGCATGGCAGCTGATACCCCAGATGCCGATTGTCTATTTTTGGCATTAGCCCAGTGTTGGTCGGATGGCCAAGGGAAATCGCTGGGTCGGCGGAGAGGCCATGATCCTGAGACTGCTCCCCAATAAGTCTTGCCGAGCACGCTTTCTACAGGAAGCCGAGATGGATTCTGATCTAGTCCGACATGCTGGCTTGTTTTGATGTGGCAGCACGCTCGTGGCTCGACTCTGTCTGTCATGCGCTCACACATACAAAGACAGGTCAGTGTGTGGAATGCACGGAAGCCGGCAAAGTGACGGACTTGCCGAGAGCCAAGCTTCTTGATACATGGCGAGCCTCAGAGTCGACTCTGCCCCAAGGAATTTTCATTACAAATTCTTGCCCGGAGCCAAGGCCCCTTGAAGAGCGGTGCTGTCTGATCATGTGGCGCTAAGGAGCAAAGTCCAGGGCCTCCAGGATCATGCAGCAAGCCTACGCAGTTTGGATCTGTCCTCGTGGGGTGCTTGGGATGCACTTGCTGCACTTTGCAATTGCTGTCCGTATGAGATAAAGGAACAACATCAGGGTCATCGAGAACCTGGGGCCCATGATGAAGCTGCGAGAGTTGAAGTCGCATGCCTGGAAGCACACACACTTTGGTAGAGTCTCCCCGGTTTGCATATGCTGCTTGCCAAGGCTGGACAGCTGTCAGATTTCGCGCATTCAAGGGCTGGAGAAATGTCCCAGTCTCGAACCTGGACTTTCGCTTGTCAGTCAATTGTATGAACACGCTATGTGGCCAGTGATATATACACTGAAATATGTATAGTTTTTGAATGGGTTTCGCGTTTCCATGCACATGATCTCCACAGGTCTCATCTCTCTACACTTAGAGGACAACGAAATCAGCTGCGTGGAAGGCGTGACTGTCTGCATTTGCTTGCGTCTGTTCGTCTCCCTCGCTCGGCCGCTCGCTCGCTCTGTCTCTCTCTCTCTCTCTTTTTTTTTCTCTCTCTCTCTCTCTCTCCTCCCTCTCTCTCTCTCTCTGTTTCCACGTGGTCATGCTGCATGTGCCTCTCGAGGTCTTGAGAAGCTTTTCTGCCTGGAGATTCTGAACCTGGAAAGGAACAGACTGCAGAGGCTTCGCAACATCGGGATGAAATCATCTCCAAGATGAGGCCAACATGCACCCTTGAACAGGTTAGGCCGTGGATTGAGCAAGCTGACAAAGCTGAAAGAGAGAGGGCCTTAGCTTGTGGCACCTCGCGGACATCCAGCACCGCAGTGGAAAAAAGGCTGCGCTTGGGCCTGAACCAGCTGACGACGCTGGAGGGTCTGCCTGGCCTTGGTGCTCTGGAGGCACCAAATTCCTTCCGCCTTCTTCCTTCGCAGACAGAAAGCCACTCATTTGTAGGTCCTGGATGCCAGCCGCAATCAGCTGACATCAGTTGCAACGGAGGAACTCAAAGGCCGTAGCGGTGCACAAGAAGGTGTCCAGAGTCTAGAGATGTCCAAGACTCTCTTGATGCAAGGCTTGGGTAAGCTAGACGAGCTCAACCTTTCAGGCATCGAGTGAACCGGATCGGGGGGGCCACAGTAAGAGAGCATTGGCACTGGGCCACAACAGAAGACATGTGATTCTGAGGCAATGGGCTCTCCAACATCAGCTTTCTGGGTCTTGGAGGCCCAGGAGACATGCTTAGTTTGACATCGCAAGATAGTGCAACATGGCTGAATAATCAAGAGCACGAAACCAACACTTGCTAAGTCCGTCTATCGTCCTTGGATCTCTCCGACAACTCGCTGACGACATCCTCCTTCAAAGGCGTCGGGGTACGGAGCAACGAAGCATAGCTAGTCTTGGTTATGAAGAGCTACTTTGCGAGGCATTCCTTGTCTTCCACTCCTAACAGAGTTCATGTTGGCGGGGAATCGACTGGAGGACGCCTTCATCCGTGCATCTATTGTTTCTTAAGCCGGATCATCAGCCCTGTTTCTTTCTGCCAGCTGCAGGAAGTCCCAGGCAATCTGGCAAACTGTCGAGCCCCAATCCACGTCGGTTGTCACAGAGAGATGATGGTCACGCCTGTTTGACTGACGCGTCCTTTCAGGTTGCCCTGGCTTGGAGATACTTGACATGTCAAGAAACAGCCTTCTCTTCGTCACCGAGGATCGCGCCTCGATGTTGTGCACGTCACACAATGCCCCGTCTCGTGTGCCAGCGAGGTGGACAAGCTAAAGGCCATTGCCACGTTACGTGAGCTGAGTGTGAAGGCCAGGGTACTCCGTCTCCGGCTGGATAGGGAGCGAGACATGGCGTCGTCAGGGCAACCCACTGGCGGACTCTGACGATTTCCCGAAGGCTGGTGATCTGCCTGATTTCAGGTGGCTGCCCTCTTAGTCACGTCTCCGTGGAAGGCGGTGCGCTCTTTAGCTGGTCTTGAGTATGTCGACAACAGGCAAGCTTGGCCGGCACTGCAGCATGGAAGGCTCCTGACTTGCAGCGCATTCGACAGGCAGCTGCAACCGCTGCAGAACTTGCTGGAGGAACGATGAGCGCCTTTTTCCTTGTGACGGCTGATGACGGCTGTGACATAAGTTGAATCACACAGGGCCCTTCCTGCAGGACGGCGTTGAAAACGAGGAGATGTTCGGCCTGACAAAGGTCGAGACCGAGGCGGTCCTGAGTCCATAGGCATCGTGTCCATTATCGCCCGTCACCGCCTACATTGCACCAGGAGAAAGCCCCAACGTCGCGGCCTGGCACTGCTTCTCGCGCTGCCCTCAGAAATTAGTCTGTTCATGGCCGATGGCTGCATGAATTCGTGTCGAGGCCCTGGTACAGCTTCCCGCCCGGGCACGGCCTCACGACCCGGAACGGCAACTGCTTTGAAAGAGGCCATGGCACACTCCAGCGTCTGCCTGTTTGGTTCCTGCAGACATCAGGCGGGGGTGCAGCAACCCCTCATGCACACTCCAGCAGTTCCCGTGCGGAAGTGCGCGAGCCTGCGCCTCACAAGTCCAACAACATCCGCTGGGCCATCGCGATTCATCTGCTGCAGTCGGACAGGCGAGGAGCAGGTGTCGCAGTGGGCGCAGCTGCTTGGCACGGTTCGCATGCTCGATATCGCTCGCAGTTCACAAGAACACTTCATCGCAGAGTCGAGGCAGACCATTGGGAGCCTTCAGGCCATCGGCAAACAGGTTGAGAAGACGTCCTCGCAGGCGCGAGAAGAAGGTCCTTGATGCTGAAGTTGAACACAAGCCGCGCCAGGCAGAGCAAGACTTGAAGGAGATGTCCCAACCTCAACTGTTGCATGGACATTCCTTGTATTTGTGCCTTACTGCAGTCCTCGCAGACGGTTTTCCGGGTGTGTTTCTTTGTCGGCCCGGTGAAGGCCTTTAAATTGTTCCCTAGCAACATGGCTTTGCCCGAAATCTTGCAACTACCGCCAAAGACGGGTCTGCGTGTTGGGGTCCTTCCCCGAAAGCCCTCAAAAGCACTCGGGTGCAAGAGCCGCCAGTTTTTGTCTGTCAAGCTGCAACCTCTCTGAACCTTTAACCAGTAGTGCCTCTGGCATGGCAGTCGACAGGCCGCTCGTTCGCTCGGGATGGTCAGCTGATTTCAGTTGGAGTAACCCACAGCCATTCCAAGGCATCGGTACGTGCAGAAAGCCAAGAAAGCCAACCGACTCCATGCGGAGTGGGAAGCCAGCGGAAGCCTTACGCTTCGATGTGGCTAGCGGATCTCCAGCTTTTGGCGATTCAGGGCAAGAAGAGGCCATCCCAGAAGAGACAGAAGAGGCATCGCTGCAGAGCCGGATTCTTCACTGCCTTGTCTTGTGTAGACAGGCGGGCCCACCAACTCCGGACTGCCACCAGGCGAGAACGGGACGGTCGGGTAAATCTTGGCGCCAGTTTCACTTCACTCGTTGTGAGGCACCAACACCGCTGCGGCCAAGTTCTGGCAACGCAAGCCGAAAGCTGCGAGAGGCTTCCTGCGTTGTACATGTGCCGTGTTGAAGGACTTCTCAAAAAACTGGGAACGGGGTGCCAAGCGACAAGGAAGCACCAAAGACACACTTGACACGAGGATTTAAACCACAGTAGCAGCTCCCAGCATGTCCAGCAGTGCCAGCTATTGCTGCTGCCGCTATGCTGGCACCAGTAGGAGCACAGTCGTCGTCGTCTTCGTCGTCGTCGTCGCAGCGGTCGTGGTGGTCGTGGTGGTGGTGTTTCTAGTGGTGGCGCTGGTGGTGGTGCTAGTGGTACAAGTGGCAGTCGTGGTAGCAGTGGTAGTAGTGGTAGCCGTGGTCGTCGTGGTAGTAGTGGTAGTAGTAGTCGTCGTCGTCGTGGTGGTGGTGGTGGCGGTGGTAGTCGGTAGTGCTGGTAGTGCTGGTAGTGCTGGTAGAAGTGGTAGTGGTTGTGCAAGTACTAGTGGTAGTGGCAGTGGTAGTCGTCGTCGTCGTTGTCGTCGTCGTCGTAGTAGTAGTAGTAGTCGTAGTCGTAGTAGTGGTAGGAGTAGGAGTAGGAGTAGGAGTAGGAGTAGGAGTAGGAGTAGGAGTAGGAGTTGGAATCGGTAGCACCAGCAGCAGCAGCAGCAGCAGCAGCAGCAGCAGCAGCAGCAGCAGGAGTAGTAGTGAGCCGGAGGAGTCCGAGTAGGAGTAGGAGCGGAGTGGCAGTGGCAGTGGCCATGGCAGCGGCGGCTACTGCCACTGCCACTGCCTCTGCCACTGCCTCTGCCACTGCCAGTGCCACT